TGGAATTGTTTTCCTGATTTCTCTTTTTGCTAGTTCATCATTAGTGTATAAGAATGCAACAGATTTCTGTGAATTAATTTTGTATCCAGCAACTTTACTGAATTCAGATGTTAGATCTAGTAGTTTTGGAGTGGATTCTTTAGGATTTTTTATGTACAATATCATGTCATCTGCAAACCGGGACAGTTTGACTTCTTCCTTGCCTATATGGATACCTTTTATTTCTTTGTGTTGTCTGATTTCTGTGGCCAGGACCTCCAGAGCTATGCTGAATAAAAGTTGGGAGAATGGGCATCCTTGACTTGCTCCCAATCTTAAAGGAAAAGCTTTCAGCTTCTCACTGTTAAGTATAATGTTGGCTCTGTGTTTGTCATATATGGCCTTTATTATGTTGAGGTACTTGCCCTTATACCCATTTTGTTGTGAGTTTTTATCAGGAATGGATGTTGAATTTTGTCAAATGCTTTTTCAGCATCTATGGAGATGATCATGTGGTTTTTGTCCTTCTTTTTGTTGATGTAGTGGATGATGTTGATGGATTTTTGTATGTTGTGCCATCCTTGCATCTCTGGGATGTATCCCACTTGATCATGATGGATGATCTTTTTGATATATTTTTGAATTTGGCTTGCTAATATTTTGTTGAGTATTTTTATATCTATATTCATCAGGGATATTGGTCTGTAATTTTCTTTTTTTGTGGTGTCTTTGCCTGGTTTTGGTATTACGGTGATGTTGGCCTCATAGAATGAGTTTGGGAATAGTCCCTCCTCTTCCACTTTTTGGAAAACTTTAAGTAGGATGGGTATTATATCTTCACTAAATGTTTCATAAAATTCAGCAGTAAAAACCATGTGGTCTAGGGTTTTTGTTCTTAGGTTAGTTTTTTGATTTCCAGTTCAATTTCTTTGCTGGTAATTGGTCTATTCAGATTTTCTGTTTCTTGCTGGGTCAGCCTTGGAAGGTTGTATTTTTCTAGAAGTTGTCCATTTCTTCTTGGTTATGCAGTTTGATACCATATTATTTTTTGTAGTATTCTCTCATAATTCTTTGTATTTCTGTGGTGTCTGTAGTGATTTTTCCTCTGTCATTTCTGATTCTGTTAATGTGTGTAGACTCTCTTTTTTTCTTGATAAGTCTGGCTAGGGGTTAATCGATTTTGTTTATTTCTTCAAAGAACCAGCTCCTGATTTCATTTATTCTTTCTATTGTTTTATTCTTCTCAATTTTATGTATTTCTGCTCTAATCTTTATTATGTCCCTCCTTCTACTGACTTTGGGCCTCATTTGTTCTTCCTTTTCTAGTTTCATTAATTGTGAATTTAGACTGTTCATTTGGGATTGTTCTTCTTTCCTGAGGTAGGCCTGTATTGCAATGTATTTCCCTTTTAGCTCTGCCTTTGCTGCGTCCCACAGATTTTGTGGTGTTCAATTATTGTCATTTTTCTCCATATATTGCTTGATCTCTGTTTTCATTTGGTCATTGATCCATTGGTTATTTAGGAACATGTTATTAAGCCTCCATGTTTTTGTGTGCTTTTTCCTTTTTTTTTGAGTAATTTTTTTTTTTAGTTTCAAACCTTTGTGATCTGAGAATATGGTTGGTTTAATTTCAATCTTTTTGAATTTACTGAGGTTCTTTTCTGGCCCAGTATATCGTCTATTCTTGAAAATGTTTCATGTGCATTTGAGAAGAATGTATATCCTGTTGCTTTTGGATGGAGTGTTCTGTAGATGTCTGTTAGGTCCATCTCTTCTCATACATTGTTCAGTGCCTCTTGTCTCTTTACTTATTTTCTGTCTGGTTGATCTGTTCTTGGAGTGTGTGGTGTGTTGAAGTCTCCTAAAATGAATGCATAACATTCTATTTCCCCTTTAATTCTCTTAGTAGTTGTTTCACGTATGTAGGTGATCCTGTGTTGGGTGCATAGATATTTATAATAGTTTTATCCTTTGTTGGACTGACCCCTTTATCATTATGTAATGTCCTTCTTTGTCTCTTGTGACTTTCTTTGTTTTGAAGTCTATTTTGTCTGATACAAGTACTGCAACTCCTGCTTTTTTCTCCCTATTAGTTGCGTGAAATATCTTTTTCCATCCCTTTACTTTCAGTCTGTGTATGTCTTTGGGTATCTCTTTTAGGCAGTGTATAGACATGTCTTATTTTTTTTATCCATTCAGTGACTCTGTGTCTTTTGATTGGTGCATTCAGGCCGTGTGCATTTAGGGTGATTATCGATAAGTATATTCCATTGCAGGCTTTAGATTGCCATTGCAGGCTTTAGATTCGTAGTTACCAAAGTTTCAAGGGTAATTCCCTTACTATTTGTCAAATTTAACTCACTTCCTATGCTATTACAAATACAACCTAAAGGTTCTTTTATTTCTTTTCCTCCTTTTTCTTTTTCTTCCTCTTCCCATTCTTTTTATGTTATGAATACTCTTTGTCTGTCCCTTGGGTGACATCTATTTAGCTTCAGAATACTTCCATCTATAGAAGTCTCTCCAAAATGCACTGTAGAGCTGGTTTGTTGGAGGTAAGTTCTCTCAGCTTTTGCTTATCTGAAAATTGTTTAATCCCTCCTTCAAATTTAAATGATAATCTTATTTCAATGCCCTTCTACTTCATTGCAGGAAATATATCAATGCACTCCCTTCTGGCCTGTAAGGTTTCTGTTGAGATATCTGATGATAGCCTGATGGCTTTACGTTTGCATATGATATTTTTTCTCTGTCTAACTGTCTTTAAATATCTGTCTTTTTCCTTGATCTTTTCCATTTTAATTATTATATGTCTTGATGTTGTCCTCCTTGGGTCCCTTGTGTTGGGTGATCTGTGCACCTCCATGGCTTGAGAGACTATCTTCTTTCCCAGACTGGAGAAGTTTTCAGCAATTACCTCCTCAATGACACTTTCTACCCCTTTTTCTCTCTTCTTCTTCTTCTGGTACCCCTATAACACGAATATTCCCTTTGGATTGGTCACACAGTTCTCTCAATATTCTTTCATTGTTAGAGGTTCTTTTCTCTCTCTGTGCCTCAGCTTCTTTGTATTCCTCTTCTCTAATTTCTATTCCATTTATGGTCTCTTCTACTATATCTAATTGCTTAATTACCTCCATTGTATGTTTCATTTCAGATATGGAATTTCTTAATGATTGAATTTCTGTCTTAAATTCATTCCTGAGTTCTTGAATATTTTTCTGTACCTCTGTATGCATGTTTATCATTTTTCCTCCTAACTCTCTTTTGGGAAGATTGGTGAGTTCAGTTTCATTTTCATTTGGCCCTTTTTCTGGGGTTTGTGAGATTTTGGTCTGAACCATGTTCTTTTGATGTTTCATATTTCTGTGTGGTGCCCTTTAGTGCCCAGCGGCTCCAGTCTCTGGAGCTCCTCAGCCCCTAGAGTGAGGTTAGGGGTAGTAGGGGAGCGGCACTGATGCCTGGTGGGAGGAAAGAGCTTTTACCTGTTTCCCAGCTGCAGTGCCTGTCTCCAGTGTCAGAGCCAGTGGGCCGAGCACACATGTATAAGCCTCTGTTCTTTGCATCTCTAGCTTTTGTAGGCGGGCTCTCCCTCTGGCTGGCCTGATGCCAGTGCAGTGACTCCAGGTTTACAAGCAGGTGCTGGTAGGCTAGGAGGAAGGTCAACAGGCTGCATGCAGTGGGGGGCCTCGGAGCTGAGTAGCCAACCAGGGGGTGGAGTGCCTGAAGCTCCTCAAAGTTCCCAACCTGCTGGGCAGAGTACTCCCAAACAACCTTGTCCAGCTCTCCCTTCTCCTGTGCAGCAAGCTCCGTGTAAATCCTGCCCCTTCAGTAGCCCTCCCTCTGCTAGGAAGCCTCTTAGACAACCTGCCTTTCCTTTATCTCAATCTCTCAAGCACTCCACCTGTCCCAGCTCCCCAACCCTACCAATCTCTAGAGCACCACACAGTACAGCTTTGTGCTCCAAAGCAGACCTCCAGGACTAGAAGTTTGGAAGTTCAGCAGTTCTAGGCTTCCTCCCCCTACCTGTTCCATTTCTCTTCCTCCCGCTGGTGAGCTGGGGTGGGGGAATGGCTTGGGTCCCACAGGATTAAGGATTTCATAGGTTACCGAGCTTCATGAGGTCTGCTCTGTTTGTGAGGTCTGTTTGCAGTCTGGTGCAGCCTTTTTTCTTGTTGCTGTTTTAGAGTTAGTTGTATTAAGTATATTTTCTTACAATATGTGGTTTTGGGACGAGTTCTCTGTCTCACTTTTCATGCCACCATCTTGAATCCATCTCCACTTTTTGATTTTTGCTTTTGTTGCCTGTGCTTTTGGTGTCATACCAAAAAAATCACTGATGAGACTAATGTCAAGGAGTGGAGGTTTTCTGCTATCTTTTTTTCTAGGTTTCAGGTCTTATGTTTATTAATGCAATTTGAGTTAATTTTTGTGAGCAGTGTCAGGTAAGGGTCGAATTTTATTTTTCTGTACATGGTTATCCAGTTTTCCTAATGCCATATATGGACAAGACTTTCCTTTCCCCATTGAATATTTTTGGCTCCCTTGTCAGACATTAGTTCACTGTATATATGGAGATTTCTATCTGGGCTCTGTATTCTGTTTCATTGGTGTATTTTATGCCAGTTCTATACCATTTTGATTACTCTCCCTTTGTAGTTTAGTTTGAAATCAGAAAATGTGATACTGCCAGCTTTTTTGTTCTTTCTTAAGGCTGCCAGGACTGTGAGAAAGGACTGTGAGGGATTTAATTCTGAACCTGTTCAGGTGTTGAGGCTTGTCTTGGACAAAAATTTAAAATATCTGGGAAGCCAGTAAGTAAGCAAGGAAATCAGAAGTATACTTTGATATAGGACAGATGCTCAAGAAAGGAGTAAGGATTTGTGATTTAATCATCCACTTAAAGGTGATGGTTAACCTGAGGATAGAGGAGAATAGAGTATAAAAGAAAGTGCAGACATCTGCGAACATGTCTTGATAAATTATATAGTTTCTTACTATGTCTTTGTCTAACCCAGAACTTTTTAGAAAATTCAACTGAAAGAGAAACTCGCCAAGAATATGCTCTGGCTATGATTCAGTGCAAAGTTCTGAAACAGTTGGAGAACTTGGAGCAGCAGAAGTACGATGATGAAGATATAAGTGAAGATATAAAATTTCTTTTGGAAAAACTTGGTGAGAGTGTCCAGGATCTTAGGTATGTTATTCTTTATAACTTTCACAGGCTGGATATATTGGGTTGTGTTTGACTTGCCTAGTATTTTAAGAAAATCTAAATTTGTTACTAAGAACTCAAAAGGTTTCACTAAAATACTATGTCTTCTATTAAAATTTTGGGGATATGGAAAAAAATGGCTTATCACTATGGCAACAAATGGTCAGAGCTATATGTTATCTCTTCTCCGTTGTCTAAAATCTGATTTGCTGTACTCTCCCAAGATGTTGGCCTCACCTAGGAACCCTTGAGAATATCCCCTAGTTTAGAATCTTTTTAAACAGCGATGGTTGTTAATTTGTGGAGGAGGTTTGCCCATATATGGAAAGACTAATTTCTTTCCTTTTTTTTGAAGCTTCTATTGGTATCAGTTATTTTTTAGATTAAAATTTATGCAAATGATGTACATGTAGTAAAAAAAAAAAAAAATTGACCCTTACACAGTTTAGAAGGTACTCCACACCACTTCCACCTAGTCCCTAGTCCCTCCCAGCCCCTAGTTTCTTGTTTTTGCTTCCAGTAAAACCTCCTCATCTTGCTACCCCGGCCTTTGTGTGCACATGCACATGTGTACACACACATGCACACACACACACAAATGGGGTTCTTCCATGTTTTCTGGACCTTGTTCTTTTTTGTTTAATAATATTTTTATGATCTTTCCTGTTTACCCAATATTCTTCATTTCAAAAAATTTTTTTTAACAGAAATACTCTTTAGATGTTTCTAAACAGAAATAGATCTTTCTCTGTAGGTGGATTTAATTAGAGCCAGGCTGACTCCAGTTTGAACTGTTTGGCAACTTTCTCTATATGTGGCCTTGAACAAGCTTCTTGACTTTTTAAATCTCAGTTTTCCTTTTTGTAAAAATAGCAATACAAATTCTAACCTTGTAGGATTTGCTCTGAGGGTTCAAGTGTCCAGCAAATGTCTTCAGTGTAGTATACCCTTCAGGAAAGGTATGTGCCAGATAATTCAGTGCAGCTGGTAATTCCAAGTCCCAAAAGCTCTTATAGAGATAGGAGGTATTACCCATATCAGTGGTTTGTAATGATAGTTTTGTAGAGGAAAGAGTTCTTTGTCTTTCTGTACTTTCAAATATGAATAAATTGATTATAATATAATAAGCCAGTAATAAGCTTGCAATTTTTATGAATCTTACTTTATTATACTTATTAAAAAAAATTTATTATCAGTTTATGATTTAAGACCTTTTTAAAAAATAAATAAGATTAGTGATACTTAGCTTTCTAAATTATTTGATTCATGTTAGCCAGTTATTAGTGATTTTTCATGTTGACTTTGGTAATTTGAAAAATATTGCTATTCCATAAAGCTAACAGGGTGATGGATGCAACTGAAAGAGATTTCTCTCTGTTTCTGCTACTACAAGTTCAGGTTATTAAAGTCAAACAATACTAGTTCACTTCTTACACTGAGTGGCCTTACATTAAAATAAATCAGTACTTTATTCAACAGGACAGTCTGATTAACTTAACTAGTAAATCCTGGTTATACTGAAGTACCAGTCAGTATTTAAATGGCTTCTTTTAAAAATATTTTTTGCTTGAAAGAATACCCAGGTATATCCTGTCACTGGCTAACCACATTAAACATATTTTACATGATGAAGTTTTTTATAATTATATTGTGTGATACATAGTGAATGATTTTTGAATTAAAGTGCACTGCAGTTTGTTATGTACATAGAGGTTTTGTTTTTAATTAATCTATAATGGGTTAATTCAGTTAATAAATTACCTCTACATTCCTGGTAATTATATTGTAAAATTTTATACTGATATGTGTGTTTTTGTAATACAATACCATAGTTTATGATGTTTATAGTATAATAATATTAAAATTGTTTTATTTTAAAGTAATATGCTTTTACATAAACTTACATTAATGTGTCTAGGAGTCTGGCAAATAAAATATTTTAAGTGGCATGGTAGAAACTGCTAGATTATGAGATATTTTACCTGGTAATTAGTGTATACACTAATGTATATATTAGGGTAAGGATTTTGAATGCAAGTGCTCCTTTTACTATCTCACGATGAGTTTTCAAATTTGATAGAAAGATAGGGTCTAGTACCCTGAATAAATTTCACAGTATTTATTAAATATTATTTAAGCTGGTTAAACTTTCTTTAGTGGTAGTTTGTTCATGTACAAAGAATGGTCTGACTTTGTATTTAAGCCATCAGTGAAGAATGATTTTTCAATTGATGTATAATTGATTAGTGAAGATGTTTTATATTTTACTTAATTTTGGAGTAATTCTCAGATTCTTCTAAACTGAATTCCTAAAAATATTTTATAGCTCATTTGATGAATATAGTTCAGAACTTAAATCTGGAAGATTGGAATGGAGTCCTGTGCACAAATCTGAGAAATTTTGGAGAGAAAATGCTGTAAGGTTAAATGAGAAGAATTACGAGCTCTTGAAGTAAGTTTTAACCCTTTTCAACATGTGTTTGTCACTCTTTTTAGAATTTTAGATATTCCGTGGTTTTAATTTGTATTTTTTTGCTCAGTGATGTGGTTGCATACCTTTTCATATGCTTATTGGTCATTTGGGTGTCTTTTCCTAGAAGTGCCTGTTCAAGCGTTTATTGTTGTTCATTTTGTGAGCTCTCTGTATATTCTGAAAGTGAGTTCTTTGTCATATATATTCATCACAGGTATTTTCTCCTCCTTTGTCACATGCTGTTTCAGTCTTTAATTTTAATCTAGCTCAGTTTATGGATCTTTTCCTTTATGGTTAGTGCCTTTTTATTTCCTGGTGAAGAGGTTTTTGCCTACCCAAGGTCATGAAGATAAATTTCTATATTACCTGCTAGAAGCTTTACCTTTTAACCTCTCACATTTAGAACTCTGCTCCATCTGTCATTAGTTTTTGGGTTAAGTATAAAGTAGGGGTCAAGATTAATTTCTTTCATTATATGGATATCTAATCAAACCTGCACTATTTTTTGGAATTTACCTTTTCCTCACTGCTTTGTAGGGTTCCCTTTGTCATAATAAGATAACCAAATAAATGCAAGTGTCTTTCTTTCTTTTTTTTATTGAAGTGTAGTTGATATTCGATATATAATATTATATTGGTTTCATGTATACAACACAGTGGTTCAACAGTTATATACATCTTAAATCTTCACCCCAACTAATGCAGTTACTATCTGTCAACATAGAAAGATGTTACAGAACCATTGAGTATATTCTCCATGCTGCACTTCCATTCTTGTGGCCAACTTACATTATAATTGAGAATTTTTGTGCCTCTTTATCCCCTTCACCCATCCTACCCATCTACCAACCCCTCCACCATGGTAACCACCAGTCACTTGTCAGTGTCTGAGTCTACTGCTGTTCTGTTCACTTTGTTTTATTTTTAGATTCTACTAATAAGTGAAATCTTATGGTATTTGTCTTTCTCTGGCTGACTTATTTCATATAGAATAATACCCTCTAGGTCCATCCATGCAAATGGCAGAATTTCTTTCTCTTCTGTGACTGAATAATATTCCATTGTATATATGTACTATATTTTCTTTATCCATTCATGTATTGATGGACACTTAGGTTGCTTCCATATCTTGACTGTTGCAAACAGTGCAGGTGTAAACACAGGGGTGCATATATCTTTTGAAATCAGGGATTTTGTTTTCTTTGAGTAAATTCCTAGAAGTAGAATTATTGGGTCAAATGGTACTTCTAGTTCTAGTTTTTTGAGGAATGTCCATACTGCTTTCCTCAGTGGTTGCACCAATTTACATTCCTGCCAACAATGTAGGAGGGTTCCCATTTCCCCTCATCCTTGTCAACAGATGCCTATTTGTTATGCTGATGGTGTCCTTTGCTGTACCATACTGTTTTGATTACTGTAGCTTTGTAGTATAGCTTGATGTCAGGGAGTGTACTAACTCCTGCTTTGTACTTCTTTCTGAGGATTGCTTTGGCTATCCAGGGTCTTTTGTGATTCCATATGAATTTTAAGATTATTTGTTCTAGTTCATTGAAAAATGCTGTTGAGCACCCAAAAAGCAAATAACCCTATTAAAAAATGGGTGGAGGATATGAACAGACCCTTCTCCAAAGAAAACATTCTGATGGCCAACAAGCACATGAAAAGATGCTCCACATTGGTAATCATCGGAGAAATGCAAATTAAAACCACAATGAGATATCACCTCACACCAGTTAGGATGGCAAACATAAAAGACTAGGAACAACAAATGCTGGTGAGAATGCAGAGAAAGGGGAACCCTCCCTACACTGCTGGTAGGAACTAGTTCAACCATTATGGAAAGCAATATGGAGTTTCCTCAAAAAACTAAAAGTGGAAATACCATTTCACCAGGGAATTCCACTCCTAGGAATTTACCAAAAGAAAACAATATTTCTGATTCAAAAAGACATATGCACACCTATGTTTTCGCAGCACATTTTACAATAACTAAGATATAGAAGCAACCTAAGTGTCCATCAGTAGATGAATGCTTGTGGTAAATATACATGATGGAATACTATTCAGCCATAAGAAAGAAACAAATCCTACCATTTGCAACAACATGGATGGAACTAGAGGGTATTATGCTCAGTGAAATAAGTCAGGCAGAGAAAGACAAGTATGAAATGATTTCCCTTATTTGTGGAGTATAATAACAAAGCAAAACTGAAGGAACAAAATAGCAGCAGACTTACAGACTCCAAGAAGGAACTAATGGTTACAAAAGGGGAGGGATGGCGAACAGACCCATAGACCAGTGGAACAGAATAGGGAGCCCAGATACAAACCCAAGCATATATATGGTCAAAAAATATATGGTAAAGGAGCCATGGATATACAATGGGGAAATGACAGCCTCTTCAACAGCTGGTGTTGGCAAAACTGGACAGCTACATGTAAGAAAATGAAACTGGATTATTGTCTCACCCCATACACAAAAGTAAACTCAAAATGGATCAAAGACCTGAATGTAAGTCATGAAATCATAAAACTCTTATAAAAATATAGGCAAAAATCTCTTGGACATAAACTTGAGCAACTTCTTCATGAACATATCTCACTGGACAAGGGAAACAAAAGCAAAAAATGAACAAGTGGGACTATATCAAACTAAAAATCTTCTGTATACCAAAGGACACCATCAGTAGAACAAAAAGATATCCTACAGTATGGGAGAATATATTCATAAATGACATATCCGATAATGGGTTGACATCCAAATTATAAAGAGCTCACACACCTCAACAAACAAAAACCAAATAAGCCAACTAAAAAATGGGCAGAGGAGCTGAACAGACAGTTCTCCAAAGAAGAAATTCAGATGGCCAACAGGCACATGAAAAGATGCTCCACATTGCTAATCATCAGAGAAATGCAAATTAAAACCACAATGCGATATCACTTCACACCAGTTAGGATAGCTAACATCCAAAAGACAAACAAAAACAAATGTTGGCAAGGATGTGGAGAAAAGGGATGTGCATTCCCTACACTGCTGGTGGGAATGCAAACTAGTTCAACCATTGTGGAAAGCAACATGGAGGTTCCTCAGAAAACTAATAATAGAAATAGCATTTGGAGAAAAGGGATGTGCATTCCCTACACTGCTGGTGGGAATGCAAACTAGTTCAACCATTGTGGAAAGCAACATGGAGGTTCCTCAGAAAACTAATAATAGAAATAGAAATAGAAAAAACTAAGAATAGAAATAGAATAGAAATAATAGAAATAGAAATAATAGAAATAGAAATAGAAATAATAGAAATAGAATAGGAATTCCACTTCTATGCTAAGAATTCAGGAGCCCAGTTTGAAAAAGACATATGCACCCCTTTGTTTATCACAGCACTATTTACAATAGCCAAGGAATGGAAGCAACCTAAGTGTCCATCAGTAGATGAATGGATAAAGAAGATGTGGTACATATACACAATGGAATATTACTCAGTCATAAGAAGAAAACAAATCCTACCATTTGCAACAACATGGATGGAGCTAGAGGATATTATGCTGAGTGAAATCCAGGTGGAGAAAGACAAGTATCAAATGATTTCACTTATCTGTGGAGTATAAGAACAAAGAAAAAAACGGAAGGAACAAAATAGCAGCAGACTCACTCAGAGAACCGAAGAATGGACTAACAGTTACCAACCAAAGGGAAAAGGACTTGGGAGGATAGGTGGGAAGGGAGGGATAAGGGGGAAAAGAGGACATTATAATTAACACCATAATGTAGCCAGTGGGGGCGGGGGGTAACACAGGAAAGGCAGTATATACAGAGAAGACAAGTAATGATTCTATAGCATCTTACTACACTGATGGACAGTGACTGTAATGGGGTATGTGGTGGAGACTTGATAATAGGGGGAGTCTAGTAACCATAATATTGTTCAAGTAACTGTGCATTAAGGATATCAAAATAAAAAAATTAAAAAATGAGGGGGAGTGGTGGGGAAGGAGAACGGACTGTGGGGTATCATGATTGGTGCACATTGTGTGTGGGGGATCACAGGGAAGAAAGTGTAGCTCAGAGAAGACAAACAGGGACTCTGTGGCATCTTACTACACTGATGGACAGAGACTGTAATGGGGTGTTGGGGAGGACTGGATAATAAGGATGAATGTAATAACTACATTGTTTTTCTTGTGAAATCTTCATAAGAGTGTATCTCAATGATACCTTAATAAAAAAAAGAAAAAGAAAATAAAAGAAACCCTAAAAAAATGCTTTTGGCATTGTGATTGGTATTACATTGAATCTGTAAATTGCTTTGGTCAGGGTGGCCATTTTGAAAATATTAATTCTTCCTATCCATGAGCATGGGCCTCTTTAATTTCTCTCATCAGGGTATCTTTTATTTTTGTCTCTGATTTCTCTCATCAGTGTCTTATAGTTGGTAGAAAAGGAGAGAATACTTCCAAACTTATTCTATGAGGCCAGCATCACTCTAATATCAAAACCAGGCAAAGACACTAAAGAAAAGATGATTATAGACCAATATCCCTGATTAACATAGATGCAAAAATCCTCAAAATATCAGCAAACTGAATTCAAAAGTACATGAAAAGAATCATCCATGATGACCATGTGGGGTTTATTCCAGGGGTGCAAGGATGGTGCAGTATTTGTAAATCGAGCAATGTGGTAAACCACATTAACAAAAAGAAGGATAAAAACTACATGATCCTCTCAGTAGGTGCTGAAAAAACATACATTCATGATAAAAACTCCCAAGAAAATGGGTATAGAGGAAACATACCTCAACATAGTAAAGGCCATATATGACAAGCCTACAGCTAACTTCATGCTTAATGGTGAAAAGCTGAAAGCTTTTCCTCTAAGATCAGGAACAAGACAAGGATGTCCACTCTCACCAGTTTTATTTAACATAGTACTGGAGGCCCTAGCCCCAGCACTCAGAAATCAGAGAAGAAAA